CTGCCCTTATGAGACAGGGGCTAAACCACTCCATTTCTTTATATGGCCTGATCACGGGCTGATCTGTCAGCTGTGAGTTGGAGTATCCACTTCTGATAAACAGCCATCCAGTAGCCAGTTCAGGCTAGTCTGTGTGACTTCAGGGTAACTTTAGCTCAATAGGAGTTTCATGAATATTAACTTCTCTGCCTTTGGGTGGAGTTTGGCTGCCGTTTCCTGATCATGTATGTATGTATGTATAATGTGATCAGTAGTAACTGTGCCTATGTAGCATGTTTAAGAAAGTGATGATGTCATTGTATGATTTCCTGTTTGTAAACTCTATAAAAACAGCTCCCCTAAACCCCATTCCAGAGCAGTCTTGGTAGGCACTAGCCCCTGATGCCTCCTTCCTTAGCCAACAAAAATAAGCTTCCTTTCTCACTCTCCTATTCAGTCTCTAACTCTCTGGCTTTGCATGGAGTCATGCCAAGCAGAACCTAGAGTTCCCTGAAACACATAGACCAGGAACTTCCTCTGTTGTTTGGACAGAATGAGGGCATGTTGCATGGTTTAAAATCAGGAAAGCTGTGCATCAAAGTTGTATCTTTTCACCATAATCATTCAATCTGTATAATAAGCAAATAATCCAAGAAGTTGGGCTCTATTAAGGAACTCTCAAGGCACTGTGGTAAAGGCATTGGGCTGCTAATCAAATGGTCGGAAGTTCAAATCTACTGGCTGCTCTGCAGAAGAAAGACAAGGTGGTCTGCCTTCGTAAAGAGTTACAACCTTGGAAAACCTGTCAGGGTGCTATGAGTCAGAAATGACTTAATGACAGTGGGGTTTGGACCATATTAATAAGATGTAGCATCAAGATTGGAGAAAGACTCATTAACAACCTGCAATATGCAGGACACAACTTTGGTTGCTGGGAGTGAAGAAGACTTGAAGCACTGACTGATGAAGATCAAAGACTACAGTCTTTGATATGTATTACACCTCAACATAAAGAAAACAAAAATACAACTGGACCAATAAGCAACATCATGATAAATGGAGAAAAGATTGAAGTTGTCAAAAATTTCATTTTACTTGGATCCACAATCAATGCCCATGGATGCAGCACTCAAGATATTAAATGATATATTGTATTGGACAAATCTGCTGCAAAATTGTTAAAGGGCAAAGATGTCATTTTGAAGGTTAAGGTGCACCTGAACCAAAACCAAAACCAAATACTGCCATTGAGTCAACTCCAACTCATAGGAAGCTCCATTGTGTTTCCAACGCAGTAAATCTTTACAGAAATAGATTGCCTCATCTTGCCTCATCTTCCTTCTGCAGAATGAGTGGTGAGTTTGAACCACTACCCTTCTGGCTAGCAGTCAAATGCCTTAGGCACTGCACCACCAGAACCCTTTGCATCTGACCAAAGCCATGATATTTTTAATAGCCTCATATGCATATGAAAGCTGGGCAGTAAATAAAGAAGACCACAGAAATTCTTGATACATTTGAATTACAGTGTTGGCAAAGAATATTTAATATACCATGGACTGCCAGAAAAAAAAAAAAAAATATATATATATATATATATAATGTCTTGGAAGAAATACAGCCAGAATGTCCTTAGAGGTGAGAATGGCCAGACTTCATCTCTCATATTTTGGCCACATTATCAGGAGGGACCTGTCCCTGGAAAAGGATATCATGCTTGGTAAAGTAAAGAATCAGCTAAAAAGAGGAAAACCATTAATGAGATGGATCAACACTGATGTTGATGCAACAATGAGCTGAATCATAGCTATGATTTTGAGGATGGTGCAGGCTGGGGCAGTGCTTATTCTATTGTACAAAGAGACATTGACTTAGATCCAATTCAACAACACCTAACAACAATCGCCCTCAGATACTATTTAAATCTTGAACTGAAACTATACCCTGTGGTCACGCTTTAAGGAAATAACCGATTGGCACACAAAGTAAAGGATATTATATATGAGTAATGTGCTCCAGTGAAAAACCATTATATGAGACCCAAAATTCAACAATCACTCTATAGCAAAGATAAGAAGATAAGGGGGCAGGGAAACTAGAGTGCTGGAAGCAGAACAATTGGAATAAAAGAGAATGTTGTACATTGTGAAACATGTAACTAATATAACTTAACAATTTGTGTAGAAATTGTCAGACAGGGGCCTAATTTTTTTTAACTTTTTATTGTGATTTGAGTGAAAGTTTTCAGAGCAAATCTGCTTTCCATTCAACAGTTCATACACTTTTGTTTGGCAACATTGATTGCAATCCCACAATATAGCAGCTCCCTTCCCACTTCCTGCCTGTGGTTACCTTTTCCCTGTGTTCTTCTTTCCCATGCATTCCTGCCGTCTGAACTTTCTCCTTGTGCAAATGCTGTCCTTCTGATCTCCCATGGTTGATTGTTCTAAGGAGTATAGCTCCCTGGTGTAATTTTTTGCCTCATAGGCCTGTCTGTTGTTTGGCTGAGATTAAGCCATGGGAGTAAGTTCAATACCAAGCCCAAAGGATGACTAGCCTCCATAATTTCAGGAGTTTCACCAATCTCTATCAGACCAATAAGCCTGGGTTTTTTGTTTTTGTTTTTTTTTTGGATTTTGAGTTTTGTTCCACATATTTATCCCACTCTCCCCCAGACTGCTAATTTTGATCCCTTTCTGAGTAGACTGCAGTACTAAGTGGGCACCATCAAGTTCTTCTCACCTCAGTGTCATGTAGATTGAGGTTTCCATTGTCTGCTAGTCCCTTGGACTAATTATTTCCATGTGTCTTTGATTTTCTTCACTCTTCTTTGCTCCAGATGAGAAGAGACCAATAGATGAATCTAAGATGGCCCCTCACAAGCTTTTAAAATCAAAGTCGCTACTCATCAATGTAGAATGTAGAACAATATCTTGTGTACTGTGTTATGCAAATTGAGCTTGATGTGTAAATGTGGATATGATTAGCTGTGTAAACTTTCAGTGTAAACTTTCAATGTAAACACAATAAAATATTATTTATAAAAAGAAAAAACTTAGAATACAGTCATCATAAAGGCTATAAGCTATTGAATGTTTCCATATGCCAGGAGAGTTCTATATTAATAGTTGACTCTGTTGGTGCCCAGCCAAGACCCCCTTTACTAGGCCAGTGCACCCAGCCTTTGATTGCTGTGATTGTTGGCTACAGTGGGATCGTAGCTTACCCCCTCCCCAGAAAATAGGCCTCTGCTAACGAAATCACCATTCCACAGGAGGTCACCCAACAAAAAGGCCACAGCCAATGGCTACTTTATTCTTGGTCAGCTGTCTGGGTCCCTTGCCTCAGAGTGGGAGGGACCAACTCTGCGGTGCAATTCATGGCCTACAGATTCCCGGGAAATCAGGCTGAACTGAGACTCCAGCTGAGTCCTCAGCCCGGTTATCTCCTCCTCCCCCTCTTGACCAGCATTCTTCAATAAATTATAGACACAGACCCTCAATTTAGGCTCTGCTTTTAATATTCAATTTAAGACAACATGCTATCTCATTTAATTATGAAGAAAATTCAGAGAATCATATAATATTCTACCCTCAGGTTAAGTGATCCATTAGTAACATAGCAGATCTTCAAATTTGAACCACAGCACAGGTTCTTTCCAGAAGGCATGAAATAAATGTGAAAGTAGAATTTTAGTATCTTAAGTTGAGCACAGTTTCTTGTTCTTCATCTTTGCCTTTTCAAAATTTCTTCCATGATTAAGAAATATTTGCACAGTCTTCAGTCTAAAGACTGAGAACTTGAAGCAAAACTTGATTGGTTTGCATCCTTTTAATCAGTGTCTCTGAGCAAAACTAAGCAGAAAACTCAATTCCCCATTTCCAAGTTTTTCCCAGCCTCTAGACTACATAAACAATGTCACAACTAACAGATCACAAGTTCAGCTTTACAACAAATGTTTTTAGTTTTCTCCTGTAAGTCAATTCAATAACTATAATAAGCTCTCATTTCCATCATACCCCAAAACATTTTTCCTGGACTTCGGCGTAAATTGCAGGGCAATTGCAATTGCAAGGAGTCAGGGGAGAGGAACATTCATAAAAATCTTTGGTGTTTTCAACCCTCATCACCAGCATTGGCTAGGATCCTCAATGCCAAAGGTCTTTAATAATTGATCCATACAGACTTTTACTCCCCATTACAAAGTCCCTTGAGTCTGGAACTCTTTTAGATAATTATTCAGGACTCCTCAGGATGCCCTCAAATCATCTGTGTGTCTATGCCCTGCTGGGGCTATGAAGCATTCTACAGATTAATGTTCCCCACTCCAGTACATAGTAATCAATCTACTCTCCCACAGGCTCCAGCCAAGAACCTTAGTTCTACTCGACCTACACTCAGCAATGGCAGCATAGAGTCTCTGCAACTATCTAGGATTATTTTTGTCTCTTCCAGGTATTACTCCTTTATTCTAGTCCTTCCATCTTCCCATCAAATGTATCCTTATCTAATGCAGGTGTAGGGTTGGAGCTGACAGTGGAGGTAAAGTGGGAGATCTATAACTAAGATGATGTGTAACACAACTTTTTCAAAGTAGTATGTTTATCACTCCTTTCTCTGTTGTCATTTCTGTTTTGCCATTGCTTTTCTAAAGAAATGAATGTCACACTCCTAGAGTAACTGCCACAGCCAATGGCTACTTTATTCTTGGTCAGCTGTCTGGGTCCCTTGCCTCAGAGTGGGAGGGACCAACCCTGTGGTGCAATTCATGGCCTAACGACACGGGGAAAGAGCAAGATGTACAGGAACTGTCAAGAAATATCTATTATCAGATTAAAATAGTTTCCTGTTATATAAAAAGAGCATAATAAACCAATCCCATTGAGTAAAGTTGTGCTATATAATTAGAGTGGAAAGAAGATGGGAAAATATTTCAATCATTTATTCAGACCAATAATTGGTCTTTAATTCCCCTTCAGGGTAAATTATTTTCAGAATAATGAAAATGTTTCCCTTATCAATCACCTTTTGCATATTATTAACCTTAATTTCCACTTGCATCTAGATAGCAAGCAGAATTTCTCTGCCCCACAGTCCAAACCCTTTGTCAGGCACTCCTGGAGTCGTAGCTGGAGGTTTGGGTGTGGGCTGCGGTTGCCTGGGGAGCACTGTGTGCTCCCTGCACAGAGGTATGTGGCTGAGTCACTGAGCTGGGAGTCTGTGATGAGCAAGGAGACATACTGGCTGCCTTTATTAAACAATGCAGTAAATCTTCCTTTTTTGTCTTCACTGGAGTATATGGACATCAGTAACTCAGGGCCTTCCCCAGAATACTGTCTGTACCACATGAAGTACTGAAAAGTACGGTCCTCATAGGTGCAGTTGAGAGAGGCTGTTGCTCCTGCCAGAATACTCAAGGAGCTAGGACTCTGCTTCAAATCCTTCTGTTGGCTTGGTGACCCTGTGCAAAAAAAAAAAAAAAAAAATGTTTAAACAAGAAGGCTGGTTAGGTAGTAGATGCTTACTATCCGGAATTAAATTATCTTTTCACAAGCCTCAACTTACTTAAAGGGACAAAAATTCATGTTTCTTCCCATAGGCCAAGAGTAGGAAATGACTCCAAATATTCTACTTTATGTCCCCATAGTCAGATGCCCAAACTCACAGCTTAACTGAAGCCATAGGATCATTAATAAAACTCTTGAAGATTTCATCATTCTTTTCTTTCCAGATTCACAGAGGATCCAGATTTTAAACTCTAAAAGAAAAATAAATGAAAAGAGAATCTGGCTCACACATCTCTAGCTCTTCTGCTTTAGAAATTATAAAAGGAATCTCTTCCAACAACTAGAAAAAGAGGCCACGCCTGCAACGTTCTCAAACCCCTCCTCCATCCCGCATATCTCCATGTGTGCTGTCACACTCATGCTCTCTCTCACATACATACACACACACATACACACACACACAGAGAAACAGTTAGTTAAGCACTTTCCTCTGGTTCTCTGTGAAAACACTGCCATCTTGTGACACTGGTCAAAGAAACAGTAAAAATACAAACCAGTTTGTGAACTGATAAAAGTAAAACTCTGACACTTTAGTTAAATTAAAATTTTCAGAAGCATATGGTCCAAGTCAATATGTATGTGTGTGTGTGTGTGTGTGTGTGTGTTATATCAGATGGCAACTCCTGTTTGAGCAACAGCAGCTATTTCAAATAGCCACCAGGAGAATTAAGCATAAAGAATTAGGCATAAAGTCTTTGATTATGGAAATCTTGGTGAATTCTTGCAAATAGCATTTCATACTGCATAACTCCTCTCTGTCAGACTAGACACACCCTATACTGCTCCTTCATCTCCGATTAAAAAAAAAAAAAAAAAAAAAACCTCTTCTAACTCAAAAGAACCCTTCCAAACCAGAATAGCCTAAATCTGACTAAAAAAACTTGGTTCCAGCTCCCAGTCAGAGCAAACATTTCCTAAGGAACCCCAGGGACTGGATGAGCTGGGAATTCTTCCTTCCATTATATACCAATAATACACAGTATTTAAATCTTCTGTTTTAGCTGGTGGCTTCATTACTGCTGGAGGTTGGAACAAATTCAGGTTCCCTACTGGCCTTACTGATCCCTGGGGACAGAGAGGTTCCTTGGTCCTTCAGTGTGAGACAAGGTTCAGGTTCCCTACTAGGCTTCTGCTGATACCATCTTGGCTGGGATGGAAAGGGATGCCTTGTCATTCTCTTTAGGTGGCCTCCACGGACGTGATGGCACAAAGTGGGGATAATCTCCACTAGGCCTTCAGAACAAACTTCAGTGGGCAGAAGGAGGAATGCCTTGTTACTGTCCAATGGGAGTGGATATCCAGGCTTCTCACACTGCAGTGCATGGTGATGGGCTATCACTGTCCACCAGATATGAAAGTCCCAGCTCCCTACTCAACCTTTTTTCACACCCCCCTGGAGGAGTTTGGGGGTCCTTCATTACCATCTGGCAAGAGTAAAAAACCACTATATGTATATACATGTTTGTGTGTGCTGCATATACACTCATATATATATAAGGGCACAGTTACAGAGACTTCCTAGACATATACAAACACCTAGTGAGATTGGTTTACTGGATTAAAGGACTTAAGACCATAGTCTCATGTGACAGTTTGATCAATTGGCATAACCTAGTTCATAAAGATAATGTCATACATCCTAGTTTTATGAGTAGCCTCTGGGATCTGAAAACTTGAGAGTGGCCTTCTAACTATTGCTCTCTACTCATCCAGAACAAAAAAAGAATGAACAAAACCAAAAACTCAAAGAAGAAACTAGTCCACAGGACTAATAACCCACATGAACCATGGCCTCATGTAACCTGAGATCAGAACTAGATAGTGCCCAGCTACCAGTTCTGATCACCCTGACCAGGTACACAATAGAAGTTCCCTGATAGAATGGAGTTAAATGTACAACAAACCTCAAATTTGTGAAAAAAAAAAAGGCCAGACTTAGTAGATGGGTAGAGTAATGGAACCCCCAAGGCAATCTCCTTAAGGTGTCCTTTGAGCCTGGAACTGAAGCTACTCATGGAGGTAATCTTTCATTCAAAGAATTGATCACCTTATAAAATAAACAGTATCACCTGTGAGTACTCTGCACCCTAAACTACACAACAATATGAGATCAGATGGTCAACGTTAACCCTAAAACAAAGATGAGAAGATAAGGAGGGACAGGGAAGCTAGATGAATTGAAATAGAACAAACAAAATGGAAATAATGAGAGTGCTGAGACTCATGAAAAATGTAAGCAATGTCACAGAACAAGTTGCATAAAAATTGGTAAATGGATAGCTAATTTGCTGTGTAAAATTTCACTGAAAACACAATAAAATACTATTTTTTGTAAAAAAAAAAAAAAGCTTAGAATTCAATCATTATAAAATTTTTCATCTACTGAATTTGATGGCATATATCAGCAGAGTTGCATATTAAAAGTTGACTCTGTGGATGCCCAGCCAAGACCTCCTTTACCAGGCTAGTGTACATGACCCCCATCTGCTGTGAGAGCTGGCTATAGCAGGATCATAGCTTCCTCCTTGGTCAGAAAATAAATCTCTGCCAACAAAGTCACAGTTCCCCAGGACACCCAAAAGAAAGACCACAACCAATGGCTACCTTATTCTTGATCAGCTATCTGGCTCTCTTGCCTCAGAATGGGAGGAACCAACTCCGTGGTGCAATTCCTGCCCTAAAGATCGCCGGCACATAAGGCTGAGCTGAGACTCTGGCCGAACCTCATCCACACTTAGCTCACCCTCTTTCTCTTGTCCTGCTTTCCCTAATAAATTGTAGGCAAAACTATCCTCAATTTAGGCTCTGCTTTTAAGAAATTTGATATAAGGCAACTTGTTATCTCATATAATACTGAAACCTATCCAGAAAATTACATAATACTTTAGCATAAGATCAAATGGTCCATTAGTAACATAAGATCCTCAAATTTGCACCACAGCACAGGTTCTTTCTAGAAAGATGCACAATAAAAGTGGAAGTAGAATTTTGGTGTCTTGAGTTGAGGCCAATTTCCTGCTCTTCCTCTTTGCCTTTCAAATCTGGCTTCCATGATTTGGAAATATTTGAACAGAATCATCAGTCTAGAGATTGATAACTTGATGCAAACTTGATTGGTGTCATCCTTTCATACAGTGTCTTTCTGAGCAAAACTAAACAGAAATCTCAACTCCCCATTTCCAAGTTTGTCCCACCTTCTAGACTACATAAACAATGTCATGACCAACAGATCACAAGTTCAGCTTTACAATAAATGTTTTAATTTTTTTTTCCTATAACTCAGCTTAAAATCTATGATAAACCTTCATATTCATCAGGCTCCCAAACATTTTTCCTGGGCTTAGACATAAGTTGCAGGGCCATTGCACTATGCCAAGGAGTCAGGGAAGAGGAACATTTATAATGATCATTAATGTCTCCAACCCTCATCACCAGCATTGGCCAAGTATCTTCAATACCAAAAGGTCTTTAATAATTGATCCATAGAGACCTTTAACTCCCCATAACAAAGCCTCTTGGAGTGTGGAACTCTTAGATACTAACTCAGGACTCGGTCTCAAGGTGCCCCCAAATCATTCTGTGTTCTTATGCCCTGTTGGGGCTATGAAGCATTCTGTAGATTAATGTTCCCCACCATTTCCTTTCCACACTCCAGTACATAGAAATCAATCTACACTCCCACAAGGCTCGAGCCAAGAATCTTGAATTCTACTCAGCCTACACTCAGCAAAGGCAGCATAGAATCTCTGCAACTATCTAGTTTTTTTGTCTCTCTTACATCTCACTCTCTTATTCCAGTCCTTCCATCTACCCATCAGATGCATCCTTATCTAATTTAGGAAGAGATTTGGAACTGAAGATGAAAGTAAAATGAGAGATCTGAAACTAAAGTAATGTCTAAAACAACTTTTTTAAAGTGGCTTATGACTCCTTTTTTTCCTCTACATTTCTAAAGAAATGAATGGAGTATCATTCCTGGAGTATCCACATGAGGAAAGAGCAAAATGTGCAAGGAACTGTGAAGAAATATCTCAGTTATCAGATTTAAATATTTTCCTGTCATTTATAAAGAGCATAATAAACTAATCCCACTGAGTAAAGTTGTGGTATAAAACTAGAGTGGAAAGAAAACTGGAAAATATTTCAATCATTTGTTTGGACCAATATTTGCTCTTTCATTTCCCTTCAGCATAAACTGTTTTCAGAATAATGAAAACATTTCCCTAATCGATGACACTCTCCATAATATTAATCTTTATTTACATTTGATTCTAGAGCGCAAACAGGATTCCTCTGCCCCTCAGTCTAAGCTCTTTGTCAGGCATTTCTGGAGCTCTAGCTAGAGGTTTGGGTATGATCTGCAGGTGCCTGGAGAGCACTGTGTGCTCACTGCACAGAGGTAGGTGGCTGAGTCACCAGGCCGGGAGTCTGTGATGAGCAAGGAGACATATTGACTGCCCTTATTAAGCTGTCCTGTAAATCTTCCTTCCTTTTTATCTTCATCAGAGTATACAAACATCAGTAACTCAGGGCCTTTCCCTGAATACTGTCTGTACCACATGAAGTTCTGAGAATAACGGTCCTCATATGTGCAGTTGAGAGAAGCTATGGCTCCCTCTGGAATAGTCAAGGATGCAGGACTCTGCTTCACCCCCTTCTGTTGGCCTTGTGCCCCTGTGCAAAAAGACAATGGTTAGAAAAAGAAGGTGAGTTCAGTGGTGGACACTTACTGTCCAGAATTAAATGATCTTTTCACAGGCTTCCTACTCTCCTTGCCTCCAGAATCTTCAATTTAGTTAGAGGGGGAAAAAAATTCAGGTTTCCTTCTATAAACCAATAGTAGGAAATAGCTCCAAATATTCTGCTTTGTGTCCCCATAGTCAGAAATGCCCAAAACTCACAGCTTAACTGAAACCATAGGATCATCAATGCAACTCTTGAAGATGTCATTATTTTCTTTTCCGCTGATTCACTGTGATTCAAATTTTAAACCTTAAAAAAATGAATCCAGCTCACACATTTCTAATTCCTCTGCTTCAGAAATTATCAAAAGAATGTCTTCTACCAATTAGAAAAAGAAGTCATGCCAGCTACTTTGCCAAACCCTGTCTTCTCCCCTCTTATCTCCACGTGTGTGTATCACACCCATGCTCTCTCTATGTATATATATATTCTCTCTCTCTATTTTTCTCTCTCTCTCTCATACACACACACACACACAGAGGAACAGTTGAGAACTTTCCTTGGAGGTCTCTGGGAAAACACTGCCATCTTGTGACACATGACAGTGGCCGAAGAAATATTCAAAATGCAAACACATTATGTGAACTGGTGTCTTGGTTCTCTAGTGCTGCTATAACAGACTTACCACAAAAGGATGGCTTAATAAACAGGAACTTATTTTCTTGTGGTTTAGGAGGCTAGAAGTCCAAACTCAGAGTGCCAGCTCTAGGGACTGGATAAAGGCCTCCCAACTTTGGGTCCATTCTTCCCCCTGTTCCAGGCCCACTAGAGTTTGAGGCTTTTTCCGACTCACATAACTTCTGCTTGCTGAGGCTAACAAACCCAAGATCAACAGGTAAAATGGCTCAGTCCCAAGATTAGCAGACAACACAGCAGGGCACTAGTTCAAGTCCAAGAACAATCCCAACATGGCAGGCCATTGAGATGAAGACTCAGCCAAATGCAGGATCCAGCCAGGATCTAGCCAAAAGCTAGACACTCCCTAAAAGATTCTCCTTATATACTGGAAGCAAGCCACACTCTGAAGTCAACTAATTAGCTGCTCACAGCAGATTCCATCAAATAGTTTATTCCAATCTCATCATGGGGAATAAATGCATGCAGCTGCCGTATCCCTCAAAATCACAGCCCAGTCAAGTTGACACACAACCTTAACTGACACAACTGGTGAAAGTAAAACTCTGACTCTGGTTAAATTTAACTTTTGAGAAGCTTATGGTCCAAGTCAACATGTGTTGTGTGTGTGTGTGCACACACTTCACATCAAATGACAACTCTTGTCTGAGTAAGAGCAGTTGATTCAAATAGCCACCATCCTGCACTTGAGAATTAGGCATGAAGTCTTCCATTATAGGCATGAGTGAGTCCTTGGGATGCAAGTACTACTTCATACTGCATAACTACTTTCTATGCCAGACTTGACACACTCTGTAAATCTTCACCCAAATCCATCTCTCAAAAAAAAAAAAAAAAAAAAATCCTCTAAATCAAAAGAACATTTTCAAAACAGTTTAGCCTAAATCTGATTAAACATACTTGGCTCCAACTCACAGACAGAAGAAACATTTTCTAACAAGGCCCAGGGACTAGAAAAGCTGGGAATTCTTCATTCCATTTTATATCAATGACACATATTATTTTAGTCTTCTGTTTTAGCAGGTGATTTCATTACTACTAGCAGCTGGGAGGGATCCAGGTTTCCTACTGGCCTGCAATGATATTTGAGGAGAGACTCCTTGGTTCTGCTGTGCGGGGAAAGGCTCAGGCTCCAGTACTAGGCTTCTGTTGGTATTACCTTGGCTGAGAGGAAAAGGGTTGTCTTGTCATTCTCCCCAGTTGTCCTCCATAGACACTGGGACAATGTGGGGGTAATCTTGTTACTGCACAGCTGTGGTGAAAATTCGGATTCTCCACTAGGCCAACTGGACCAACTCCAGTGGGGAGAAAGAGGGGTACCTTGTTACTGACCACTGGAAGAGGATATCCAGGCTTCCCACACTGCAGTGCAGGATGATGGCCTGTCACTGTCCACCAGTGATGAAAATCACTACTCCTCACTCAAACTTTTCTCATGCCACCCTGGAGGGACTTGGAGGTATTCATTATCACCTGGCAAGAGTGGAAGTCTAGCACACACACACACACTTTTGCATGTACTGCATATGCATTCACGTATATATACATAGGGGTAAAGTTACAGAGCCTTCCTAGATCTATGCAAACACCTAGTATGATTGATTTACTGGATTAAAGGACTTGGGACCATAGTCTCATGTGACAATGTTTGCTCAATTGGCATAACATAGTTCATAATGACAATATTCTACATCCTAGTTTGGTGAGTAGCCTCTGGGGTCTGAAAAGCTTGTGAGTGGCCAACTAAGATACAACCAATAGTTTCTACTCATCCAGAACAAAAAAGAATGAAGGAAATCAAAGACTCAAAGAAGAAACTAGTCCACAGGACTAGAGCATAAACCACAGCCTTGTCTAGCTTGAGATCAGAACTAGATGGTGCCCGGCTACCACTGCTGACTGCCCTGACCAGGGAGGGGCACAATAGAAATTCCCTGATGGAATTGGAGAAAAATGTAGAGCAAACCTCTAATTCTTAAAAAAGGAAAGAAAGAAAAGAAAGACACACTGGACTGATAGAGACTAAAGGAACTCCCAAGGTAATTGCCCTAAGATACCCTTTGAAGTTGGAACTGTAACTACTCCCAGAGGTTTCATCTTTCATCCTAGTAACAGATCAGCATATAAAATAAAACATATCACCCCTAAGTACTGTGCTCCCTAAAATGCTCAACTATATAAGATCAAATGGTCAACATTAACCCTAAAACAAAGATGAGAAAATACAGAGAGCAGGGAAGCTAGATGAATGGAAACACAACAAACAGAATGGAAATAACAAGAATGCTGACACATTATGAAAAATATAAGCAATGTCATAGAACAAGTTGTATAAAAATTGGTAAATGGGAACTTAATTTGCTATGTAAAGTTTCACTGAAAACAATAAAATATTATTTTAAAATAATGAAAGAAAGAACAGGCTTAGAATTCAAGAATTACAAAATTTGTCATCTACTGAATTTAGTCATATGTCTGCAAGGCTCAGTATCAACTGTTGACTCTTTGCATCGAGTCAAGACCACTTTTACCAGGTTAGTGTACCCAGTCCACACCTGCTATATTGGCTACAGGAGGATCATAGCTTCCCCCTTCCCCAGCAAATAGGTGTCTACAAATACAGTCACTGTTCCTCAGGAAATCATCCCAAAGAAGACCACAGCCAATAACTACCTTATTCTCAGTCAGCTTTCTGGCTGTCTTGCCTCAGGGTGGAGGGGACCAACTCTGTGGTGCAATTCATGGCCTACAGATTCCCAAGCTGAACTAAGACTCTGGCTGAACCTCATCCAAGCTTAGTTCTCCCTCCTCCTTTTCACTGCTTTCCTCAATAAATTATGGGTACTAGGATCATCAATTTAGGCTCTGTATTTAAGGCATGTTATCTCACTTAATTCTGAAGCCAATCCAGAAAATTATATACTACTGTAGCCTAACATCAAACGATCCATTAGTAACATAACAGATCTTCAGATTTGGAGCACAGCACAGGTTCTTTCCAGAGGCACACAATAAATGTGAAAGTAGAATTTTAGTATCTTGAGTCTAGCATAATTTCTTTCTCTTTGTCTTTCCAAGTCTTTCTTCCATGATTTGGAAGTATTTGAGCATTATTCTAAAGATGGAGAACTTGAAGCAAAACTTGATTGGGTTGCATCCTTTCATACGGTGACTTTGAGCAAAACCTAAGCAGAAATCTCAATTACCTACTTCCAAATTTTCCCCAAGTTCTAGACCACATGAACAATGTTATGACCAAGAGATCACTAGTTCAACTTTACAATAAATGTTTTAAATTTTTTCCTGTAAGTCATCTTAATATCTATAACAAGATCTCATTTCCATCAGCCCCCCAAGCAGTTTTCCTGAACTTAGACATAAGTTGCTGGGTAATTGCATAGTGCCAAGGAGTTAGGGAGGGGAAATTCATAATGACTGCTGGTGTTTCCAACCCTGCTCACCAGCATTGGCCAAGATATCCTCAACTACAAAAGGGTCTTTAATAATTGATCCATACATGTGTTTATCCCCCACAACAAGGTCCCTTGTAGTCTAGAACTCTTACATAATTTCTCAGAACTGTGTTTCAGGGTACCCTAAAATCTTTCTGAATTCCTGTGAACTGTCATGGCTATGAAGCATTCTACAGATCAGTGTTCCCCACCGTCTCCATTCCACACTGCAGTACATAGTCATCAATCTACTCTCCCATGAGGCTCAAGCCAAGAATCTTGAATTCTTCTCAGCCTATATTCATAAATGGCAATACAGAATCTCTGCAGCTATCTAAGATTTTTGTCTCTCCTACATCTCATTATTTTATTCCAGTCCTTCCATCTACCCGTCAAATGCATCCTTATCTAATTTGGGAACAAAGTTGCAGCTGAAGGTGGAGGGAAAGTGGGAGATCTGTACTTAAAATAATGTAAATACAAGTTTTCCAAAGTAGTTTGTTTATCACTCCTTTTTCCTCTTTTCATTTCTGTTTTGCTATTGTTTTCCTGAAGAAATGAATGTCAAACATCTAGAATAAGTACATGGGGTAAGAGCAAGATGTACAAGGAACTGTGAAGAAACATCTCAGTTATGAAATTAAAATATTGTCCTGTTATTTATGAAGAACATAATAAACTAATCCCTCTGAGTAAAGTTGTGGTTTAAAACTAGAGTGGAAAGAAAACTGGAAAATATTTCAATCATTTATTCAGACAAATATTTGCTTTTTAATTCCCCTTCAGGGTAAATTATTTTCAGAATAATGAAAATTTTCTCTAATTAATGACTCTCTCCATATTATTAATATTAATTTCCACTTGCATCTAGAAAGCAGAGAGGATTTCTCTGCCCCATGGTCTAAGCTCTTTGTCAGGCAGGCATTCCTGGAGCCCTCGCTGAGGTTCGTGTGTGGGTTGCAGGTGCCTGGGGAGCACTGTGTGTTCCCTGCACAGAGGTAGGTGGCTGAGTCACCAGGCTGGGAGTCTGTGATGAGCAAGGAGACATACTGGCTGCCTTTATTATGCTGTGCTGTAAATCTTCCTTTTTTATCCTCACTGGAGTATATGGTCATCAGTAACTCAAGGCCTTTCCCGGAATGTTGTCTGTACCACATGAAGTACTGAAAAGTAAGGCCCTCATAGGTGCAGTTGAAAGAGGCTATTGCTCCCTCTGGGATAGTCAGGGATCCAGGACTTTGCTTCACTCCCTTCTGTTGGCTCAGTGACCCTGGGGAAAAGACAATGGTTAGACAAAGAAGGTTGGTTGGGCAATCGATGATTATTGTCCAGAATTAAATGATCTTTTCATAGGCTTCCCACTATCCTTGCCTTCAGACCTTCAATTTAGTTAGAAGGGGGAAAATTCATGCTCTGCCATAGGACAAGAGTACGAAATAGCTCCAAATATCCTACTTTATGTCCCCATAGTCAACGATGCCCAAAACTCACAGCTTAACTGAAACCATAGGATCATTAACGAAACTCTTGAAGATTTCATCATTTTTTTCTCTCCTGATTCACTGAAGATCAAATTTTAAACCCTAAAAAAAATGAATCTAAGTGAAATATTTCTATTTCTTCTGCTTTAGAAATTATGGAAAGTATCTCTTCTGCCAATTAGAAAATAGGTCATGCCTGCTACATTGTAAACCCTGCCTCCTCTCCTTATATCTCCATGTGCATGTCGCACCAATGCACTCTCTGTCTCTCTCTCTCTCTCTCTCTCTCTCTCTCCCTCTCTCTCTCTCTCTCTCACACACACACACACACACTCACACACATGCACACAGGAACAGTTGAGAACTTCCCTGAGGAGTCTCTGTGAAAACACTGCCATCTTGTGACACATGATGGAGACCAAAGAAATAGTCGAAGTGAGAACACATAATGTGAACTGGTAAAAGTAAAACTCTGACACTTTGGTTAAATTAAAATTTTGGGAAGCATATGGTCCAAGTCAACGTGTGTGTGTGTGTGTGTGTGTGTGTGTGTTTTACATCAAGTGACAATTCTTGTCTGAGCAAGAAAAATTAATTCAAATAGCCACCATTCTGCACTGGAGAATTAAGCATAAAGTCTTCAATTATAGGAATCTGGGTGAGTTCTTGGCTTGCAAGTAGTACTTCACACTGCATAAAACCTCTCTATGTCAGACTAGACATACCCTATATCCCTCTATGATCTCTCATTTTAAAACAAATCTCTTCTAACTCAAAAGAACCCTTCCAAAACAGAATAGCTTAAATCTAACTGAACAAACTTGATTCCAGCTCACAGCCAGAGAAACATTTACTAACGAGGCCCAGGGACTACAGAAGCTGGGAATTCTTTATTCCATCTTATATTGATGAAACATATTATTTAAATCTTCTGTTTTAGCAGATGGCTTCATTACTGCTGGCTGTTTGGAGGGATCCAGGCTCCCTACTGGCCTGGAATGGTCCCCAATGACAGAGAGGCTCCTTCGTTCTGCTGTGCAGGGCAAGGTTCAGGCTTCCTGCTAGGCTTCTGCTGGTACCATTTTGGCTGAGAGGGAAAGGGATGCCTTGTAACTCTCCCCAGGTGGCCTTCATGGATACAGTGGGGCAATGTGGGGTAATCTTTTTACTGGTCTGCTGGGGTGAAAGTTCCGCCTCTCCACTAGGCCACCTGAACAAACAGCTGGTGGGGAAAGGGAGGAGTGCCTTGTTATTGTCCACTGGGAGTGCATATCCAGGCTTCCCACACTGCAGTGCAGGGTGATAGGCTGTCGCTGACCACCAGAGTTGACTGTTCACAGTCAACCTTCTCTGATATCACCCTGGAGGCATTTGAGGGTACCTCATTATCACCTGGTAAGAGTGGGAATCTAGCATGGAAAGCACATAGTATATACATAATACATGTTTGTGTGTGCTGCATATACATTCATGTATATAATAAAGCATATAGTGGCATAGTTACAGAGACTTCCAGGGCTGTATTCTCATGTAACAACTCTGTCAATTGGCATAACACAGTTCATAAAGACAATGTTCTACATTCCAGTTTGGTCAGTAGCCTCTGAGGTCTGAAAATCTTGCAAGCAACAACCTAAGATAAAACTGTTGGTCTCTACTCATCCAGAACAAAAAAGAATTAACAAAACCAAAGACTCAAAGAATGAACTAGTCCAGAGGAATATAGTCCACATGAACCACAGCCTCATGTAGCCCAAGACCAGAATGCGGTAATACCTGGCTACCACTACTGACCACTCTGACCAGGGACACAGTAGGAGTTCTCTGATAGAATGGGAGAAAATTGTAGGATAAACTTCCAATTCTTAAAAAAGATCAGGCCTACTGGATGATGGAGACTAAAGGAACCCAAGACAATCACCCTAAGATATCCTTTCAACTTGGAATTGAAGCTTCTCCTGGAGGTTAACTGTCATACAAATAATAAATTACTTTATAAAATAAATAATATCACCTGTGAGAATTGTGCTTCCTAAAATAGTCAACTATATGAGGCCGAAAGGTCAACATTAACCCAAAACAAAGATGAGAAGATAAGGAGGAACAAGGAAGCTGGATGAATTGAAACAAGCAGAGTGAAAATAATGAGATGCTGAGACATTATGAAAAATGTAATCAATGCCACGGAACAAGTTGTATAAAAATTGGTAAATGGGGACCTGATTTGCTGTGTAAATTTCATCAAAAACACAATAAAATATTATTTTTAAAAAAGATCTTAAAATGCAATAATTATAAATTTTGTCATCTATTGAATGTTGACCACAGGATCATAGCTCACCCCTTTCCCAGTAAAATAGGTCTGTGCCAACAAGAGTCATCCTTATCCAGGAGGTCACCCCAAAGAAAGACCACGGCCAATGGCTATCTTATTCTTGGTTAGCTGTCTGGCTCCTTGCCTCAGGGTGGGAGAGACCAACTCTGTGATGCAATTCATGGCCTCAGATCCCCAGGAGACCAGGCTTTCGGAACTAAGACTCTGGCTGAGCCTCATCAAAGCTTAGCTTTCTCTCCTTCTCTTGACCTGCTTTCCTTGATAAATTATAGGCACAAGTATCATCAATTTAACCTCTGCTTTTAAGAAGTGTAACTAAAGACAATGTGCCATCTCATTTAATTCTGAAGCCAATCCAGAAAGTTACATAATCCTGTAGCCTAAGATCAAATGGTCAATTAGTAACAGAAACAGAGCTTCAAATTTGCATGACAGCACAAGTTCTTTCCAGAAGGCACACAATAAATGCGAAAGCAAAATTTTAGTATCTTGACTATAGCACAATTTCTTGCTCTTCCTCTTTGTCTTTTTAAAATCTTTCTCCCATGATTTGGAAATATTTGTGCAGAGTCTTCAGTCTACAGATTGAGAACTTGAGGCAGAACTTGATGGTCATGCATCATTTTAGTCAGTGACTTGTGTCAGAACTAAACAGAAATTCCAATTCCCCATATCCAAGTTTTCCCCAACTTCTAGACTACATGAACAATGTCATGACCAACAGATCACAAGTTCAGCTTTACAATAAATGTTTTGTATTTTTTTCCTGTAGGAGCTCTGGTGGTGTAGTGCTTAAGGCATTTGATTGGTAACCAGAAGCCTGGTGGTTCAAACCCACCAGCCACTCCTCCGAAGGAAGGTTGGGCAATCTACTTCTGTAGTGATGCCGCCTTGGAAACCCAAGGAGGGGTCGTTATGGGTCAGATCGGACTTGAGGGAAGTGTGTTGCATTTCTTGTATTTTTTTCCTGTAACTCAACTTAACATCTATGATAACCCCTCATTTTCACCAGGCACCCAAACATTTTTCCAGGACTTAGGTATAAGTTGCAGAACAATTGCTTAGTGCCAAGGAGTCAGGAGAGAGGAACTTTCATAATTATCTTTGGTGTTTCCAACACTTATCACCAGCATTGGCTAAGATATCCTCAATACCATAGGGTCTTTAAGAATTGATCCATACAGACCTTTACTCCCCATTAAAAAAAGCACTTTGGAGTCTGGAGCTGTTTTAGATATTTACTCAGGACTCCTTCTTAGGGTACCACAAAATCTCTCTGAGTTCCTATGCCCTGCTATGGTATGAAGCATTTATAGATTAATGTTCCACACCATCTGTGTCACTTTCATGCACATGGTAATCAATCTACTGTCCCATAAACTTCACACCAAATCTTCAATTCTTCTCAGCCTACATTCAGAAATGGTAGCATAGAATCTCTGCAACTATCTAGGGTTTGTATTTTTTTTTTTCAGTCTCTCCCCCAGGCACCACTCTTTTATTCTAGTCCTTTCATCTATCATCAAATGTATCCTTAACTAATTTAGGACTAGAGTTGCAGCTGGAGGTGGAGGTAAAGTGGGAGATCTATAACTGTGATAATGCATAACATGACTTTTTCAAACCAAAAACCAAACTCAGTAGTTTGCTTATCACTCCTTTCTTCTCTTTTCATTTCTGTTTTGCCATTGTTTTTCTAAAGAACTGAATGTCAAACACCCTGAGTAACTACATGGGGAAAGAGCATGAGGAACATGGACTGTGAAGAAATACCTGTTATCAAAATATTTTCCTGTCATTCATAAAGAGCATAATAAACTAATCCCATTGAGTAAGTTATAATATAAAATTAGAGTGCAAAGAAGACTGAAAAATATGTCAATCATTCATCCAGACCAATATTTGGTTTTTCATTTCCTTTCAGGGTAAATTATTTACAGAATATGAAAATATTTTCCTAATCAATCACCCTCTCCATAATATTAATCTCTATTTCCATTTGATTCTACTGAGCAGACAAGATTCCTCTGCCCGTCAGTCTAAGCTCTTTGTCAAGCATTTCTGGAGCTCCAGCTAAACGTTTGGGTATGATCTGCAGGTGCCTGAAGATCACTGTGTGCTCACTGCACAGAGGTAAGTGGCTGAGTCACCAGGCTGGGAGTCAGTGATGAGCAAGGAGACATATTGACTGCCCTTATTAAGCTGTACTGTAAATCTTCCTTCCTTTTTGTCTTCATTGGAGTATATGGACATCAGTAACTCAGGTCCTTTCCCAGAATACTGTCTGTACCACATGAAGTTCCTAGAAGCACGGTCCTTATATGTGCAGTTGAGAGAAGCTATGGCTCCCTCTGGAATAGTCAAGGATCCAGGACTCTGCTCCACCTCCTTCTGTTGGCCTTGTGCCCCTGTGCAGAAAGACAATTGTTAGACAATGAAGGTTGGTTCGGTGGTGGACATTTACTGTCCAGAATTAAATGATCTTTTCACAGGCTTCCCACTCTCCTTGCCTCCAGAACTTTCAATTTAGTTAGAGGAGAAAAACTTCAGGTTCCTTTCCATAGCTGAAGAGTAAGACATAACTCCAAATATTCTGTTCTGTGTCCCCATAGTCAGAGATGCCCAAAACTCACAGCTTAACTGAAGCCATAGGATCAATACTGAAAGTCTCGAAGATTCCATCATTCTTTTCTCCCCTGATTCACTAGGATTCAAATTTTAAACCCT